TCTGTCTTGACTGTGCTGATGGTTAGTTAACGTGACTGTACACATTTGGCCAAACTTGCAGATCTGTACTTAAAAAGATGCGTTTTACTGCATGTAAATTCTCCCTTCTGAAAAAGATGGAACAGATGAGGGCAGAGAAAGGAAGGAAAGCAGCTACATTTACCAAGGAAAAGCTGTGTTTGTCTTCTCCACAGTTGTGAACTGGAGACCAATGAGAAAAGAGTCACGTCTTCAGTATGCTACTGGGGAAAATCTGGCCCTAAATTCCCAGATTGTCCTTTGCAGAATGAACTGTGGATCATGCCAGCTCCGTAACATATCTTCTTTGCATTTATCAATCACATAGGTGGTGCTGGTTCAGGACATAACATGGACACGATGGCTTTTTCATGGGAAATCACCAAACCCATTCATTCAGCTCTCCGCTCAGTCATGGCAAGCTCTTTGGTGATGGTCATGCTCCACTGATGCTCACGTCAGCTGGGCCAGCAGGCACAACAGAAGGGCACGTACTATGTGCCCACTGGTTGGCTCTCTGTTCACAATAGCTCCCCGCTATTCTTCATACTTTCCCCATGAGACCTTTTTTTTTCCTACTTTAAGCAATCTTTTCATACTTTTTTTTGGGGGGGGAGGTACACTTGCCTTTCCCTGAATCTAGACTGCCTGGTTAGCTTGCAGGAAGCTCCTTCCCAGCTAGACTCAGTTAGTTTGTGGTTCCGTCCCACTGTTTTATCATCTTTCAAGTTTGTATGAATTATTTAATTGATGCTGGAAGAACGTGCTTCAGAATTTGCATTTTGGGATGAAGCCCCAGAGGAAATACCTAAGTTGGTCACAGGGATTCATCCACTTGCTGAATTTCCCCTCTTTTCATACTAAGTTGGAATGGGACTTCAGCCTCCTTCACTATATTCAGAAACAAGCCAGAGAAAACAACTTGTGATTCATGCAGGATTTGGAGGAGTTGCTTGAAAAAGCCCATGCTGGCAGTCATGTTCATCAGGGTACCCCCCCCCTTGCTTTTTCTTTCCTTCCCTTCCTTTCTTTCTTTCTTCCTGGGATGGTAATGTGAGATTATGGGAAAGACACACCATCATCATGCACTTCACATAAACTGCACAGCAGCAAAAGGGACAATGGTATGGATCCCTGGAAAACAGAGGCAAACAGACTCTTCCTGTCTATCAAAGCCAGAAGGCCCTCACTCATGCAAACACAAACTAAGTTCTTCCAGTGTGACAGTCAGTGATTCAAAAGTTACCTACTGCTTAATTTAAAAATTTTGCTTCTTAGCCAGTTTCCTCTCAGACTGCCACAAATCTCTGGTGTGAGAAGTCGCACATCATTAACACGCACTGAGTACTTTCTAGGGGCAAGGCCCTTTGGACAACTAATGAGGATGACGGTGAAAATCCAAACCTCCATAAAGGCTGGGAAATGCAGCCATGTGCCGCCTAATGCTTCAGTTGGTAATCTGAATACTCTGCTGCTCCATAAGATGATAACGGAGCTGAGAAATTCCTAATGTCTAGTGATACGGCCATGGCAACATCAGAGGACAATGCATTACTCACACATGCACCATCACGCCGAAGAAGACAAACTGCTGCCTTGCCAGGTGATGCGTAATACAGAATAGCTACTAATGGAAATGCTGCTGTGGATCGAACACAGGGTGTTGCGTACACCAGGTGAGTGCTTTGCCTCTGAGCTACATCCCCAGTCCTACACTGTACTTTTAATCATCACTTTAGGGTATACTTCTACTTATGGAAAAACAAGTTGGCTGTGACACAATAGCCAGGTTACGCCAGCAGCAGCCTTGTATATCTCTCATGTTTACTATATCGTGATTGCACTGCAAGGCCGCGTTGAGTGGCTAACTTATACCATCTTGATTTGTGTAAGCACATGCTGCAATATTCATACTATGACAAAGTCAAACAGCGATGCAGTTCTCAGGTTGCATCCCCATCGTTAAGTGACACAGGACTGTTTTATAGTTGGGTAAAATACAAAGAAAGACTGTAAGATGGTCTGACTTCTGCTTCTTGGGGCCAGAGGAACAAAACACATCCATTTTCAAGGTTCTCTGCTGAGTTTCAAGAAAGGTGACCTGAAAGTGTCATCTTCAATATCCTGCCTTCCAGTTGCCTAAGGTGGAAAGTGTTCCTCTCTCACTGAGTGCTCTCTTAGTGTCCCCTAAGTTATCCCAAATGACACCATGTATATTTGCAGAATGGGAAGAGGAGATGGTTGGTGGAGAAGGACAAGTAGACAGGAACAGTGTCCGGTCTGCTGGGTTCAGAACAGGGAAGTAGGGCTCAGTAGTTTCGGCAACCTTGACCTTACACACCTGTGAAGCTGAGGTAGGATATTCTGAGCAGACTGATGAGGGAACCAGTTTTCCTCCCCCACCCCCATTCCCACTTTTTGCTACACACAGGTTAGGAGGCATGATGACTAAGGAGGATCACAGGGTTTGGTGACATGGAACTCAGTGGTGACTTCTACTAGAGAAGGCAGACCAGGAGCTTAGTAATGGATCATATGCTGGAAGAAAGAACTAAGTGCTAGATAGTTTTGTGGTGCTGGAGAGAAGCAGAGAGAACAGGTGTTCGAGAGACAAGCAACATTAGGAAAAGGTCTCTCCTCTGAAGCACTGGGAGAAGGTGCTCTTTGGAGTTGGTGGGGGAAGCAACCAATATATATTGGCTTTATGCTAGTAAGACAGAGAAAAAAATAAATATTGCTTTAACTAAAATGTCAATATTTGAGATAAACATAGAAAACAACCCCAGAATAAGCAACGAGAGATTAGCCATTTCCTTTTTCTTTTCCATTTTGGAAGCAATAGAGTATTCAAAAAATATACAAAATACATCCAATGAGTGGAACAAAGCATAATAGTCTCTTCTTAAGCACCAACTCCACTTACAGGAATGTTGTTTATAATCATGCTGATAAATTAGTTGTGTTCAATAGACATTAAATAAAACTGATCTATGTTAGATTCTATCCTTTCTATTCTATACCCCAACTGCCTCTCAGATGCCTGGTTACAGAAGCTTTGTCAACACACTTGAGGCAAATGTAAACAAACACTAAATAGGGGGAGGGATGAAGAGTTCTGTTTATTCAAAGAGACCAGCGAATCTCTTTGTTCCCCAAGGCCCTGGAAACCAAACCAGTCACCAGCACAGCTCAGAGAATTTTTTCTTTCACACACAGGAAGCTCACCAACAAAGGGAGGACCATTTCAGCTTGCCAGGTGTTTACACTTTCCAACTCTGCTGTATGGCTTTACCCTCATGTGGCGAGGAGAGATTTCCAAGTGGAAAGAATCTCCAGTTCCACGCTGAGTTACAGGGGAGAGAGGCTCAGGATGCAGAACTCTCATTTGCAAACCTCCCAGGGAGCCTGAGTCCTGTGAGAGACCCTGTCCTCCAGGTGAGCATGGTATGTAGCTTGCAAGCTGAGGTATCAGAGCAGTGGTCATTACTTCCTTGACTTCCATTTCTATACCAACTTCTTATGCCATGTCTAGCAACGGCCAATCCGAATGATCAAGTTATCTATGGAGAATGTGCATTTTCCATGAACAATGTTAGCTGGGATTCCAAATAAACAGTTCCAGGCTTGGATGGGGAGAGCTTTTGTTTGTTTGGTTTTCAGTGCTGGGAAAGCACTCTACCACTGAGCTACATCCCCAGCCCTTGAGGCTGGCCTCAAACTCGTGATGTTTCTTCCTACCTTCACCTCCTGAGTGCTGGGATTACAGGTTGTTATCAGCACACCTGACTATTAATAATGTGCTCTGTGTCCAACCTACATGGTTAACTTTTGCCTGGTATAACTCTTTATCTCAGATACCAAGCCACAGATGTGGCAAATAACTTGTTTGTTACTTAGCATCATTCTGTCTGGCTCCAGTGCCTGCCCATCTTCCCCTTTCAGGCTGACTTTGAAAAGGCCCTGGCCCAGGTGCTCAAAAACTAGCTCCACCTCAAACTAATCCAACCCTGACCTATAATGGTTCAACTTAAATTCTTCTATGATAGTGCAAAAGTGATACACAGTCAGAAGCAACTATCCTTTGAACTCTAAATTTAGATCTTTTTCCAGGCCACAATACATGGAATGATCAATCTTTTCTGGTGATACCTGGCAGTCCCGAGACCATGCACGTAAACAACTGATACTTTACAGTAGGCTGTGTTGCCGAGCTACGATGCTCATTAGGGTACGGGTACTAAATGCATTTTTGATGTACGGTATGCTTTTTGTGAGTTTATGAGAATGTAATCCCATTGTGAAATAAGTAAACATATTAGAACATTAAGAAGAGCCAGGCTAAACTATGATGTTGATAGGTTAAGTTTATTAAATGAACTTTCAACTTATGATATCATCAACATAGGATGGTTTAATGGGCGTTAACTGTATCCTAAGTTGGGAGCATGCTACAGTTAGATCTGAAATGCCTCCCAAAGACCCATATGCTAACAGCTTGGTTGCCAGCCTGTGGTGCTATTGGGAGTTGGTGGAATCTTTAGGAGATGGGGCCTAGTGGGAGGATGTTAAGTCACTGAAGATGTGTACTTGAAAGAGACATTGGGACCCCGACCCCTTCCATGTTTATCACAGACTCTCCCTCTCCACCCCCACCATTGTTGCTGTTGTTGTTTTTGGGGTGGTACTGGGGTTTGAACTTGCTCTATCACTTGAGCCATGCCCCTAGTCCCTTCCCAGCCTCTCTTGATGTTGATTTCAATCTGACTTCATGTGAACAGAAATGTCCTGGGAAGAAAGGACACACTCCTTTCCATCCTGAGAATGAGCTGCTCAAGAGCCTTTTCTTCTCCCCTGTAACACTCTTCCAGAGTGTGCTTAGGTCTTCTTGATCTATAGCCTGGTTTTCAATCAGGTTGACTGATTTGCCTGGAGCATGGTGAAGAATATGTTTTGTCCTACTGACAGAACACCAAGCTAGTTACCTGATTCCTGGAGATACCGATACACCAGAAAGTTCACCTCGTCACTGGTTATGCTCATCTTAGCCCCACCTCGCGGCGATGAGGTCTTTATGAAGCGGGAGCCACCCTCTGGTAGGAAAAAAAATCAGAAAGAGAGTTTTGAAAACATTGCCTGTTAATTCTCCTTCTGCATTCTTTTTGAGGTAAATGAATGGAACTGGAGAACATCTTAACTGAAGTTAGCCAGGTTCAGAAAGCTAAAAGCCACATATTTTCTCTCATATGTGGAATATAGGCCTAATACAAATACAAGCAATATTATATATACACAGAAATATATACAGAACATGTATCCAAAAGTGGGACTGGTAGAGGAGACCAAGGGAAGAAGAAAAGACAGAAAGAAAGACAGCAGACAATAATACATCACATCTGTGTAAGAACAAGACAAAAGAAAACACACTGAAAACTGCTAAACAACACAGGATGAGGAAATAGGGCGAGGAAGTACAGTGGAGGGGGGGGTTACATTGACTTAAGTACAATGCATGTACAGATATAATAGGAAGGCAAACATTCCCACTGAACAATGAACCTAAACAATGAAGGACAAGAATTAGAAACAGCTCATGCTAAGTGGAGGGCACTAATGGGAGGAGGGGGGTAAAAGAAGGAAGTAAAGAAGGTGAAGATGGTTAAGGTACTTTCTATACAAAAATGAATACAGAAATTTTAAACCCCTTGAAATCACCATAAGGTGGGGGGGTAAGGTAGAGAAGAGAAAAATGGAGGGGATGAGCCAGTTCGGGATATAAAACATATATACGTGGAAATGTCATAATGAAACTCCCTGTACAGCTAATCTTAAGCAAACAAAAATGTCTTTTTTTAAAAACAAAGTACAGGAAGGTAAAACAGGTCCTGTCTGGGGGTGGGCACCAGTGGGAGAGGGGAGGATAAAAGGAAAGGGTGTAGGAGGGTGAATATGGTAGAATATTATGTAATTATGAATGAAAGTGGAACAATGAGACCTGCTGAAACTATTCTAAGAAAGGGGAGGGGGGATAAAGGAGAAAGATGGAGGGAGTGAATTTAACTAGGATGTATTGTAAGCACTTTTATAAATGTCACAATGTCCCCCCAGTACAATAATATTATAGTAAAAAGAAAAATTAAAAAGAAATGTAAAAAGAAATGAATAATGTCAATAGATGGCATGTTAAAATACACTTTCTCCTTTAAAAAATAAAAATTAAATACTTTTAAGAAAAACAACTGGTGAAAGACTTGAATGGGCATTTTTCCAAAGGAGGTACATAGATGTTCCGCAAGTACATGAAAGATGTTCAGCACGAGCAATCATCAAGGAACGCAATCGAAACCATGATGAGGTAACACCTTACACATCTCAGGGTGGCAACTGTTTTTAAAAACAAGAATGGAAAATAATAAATGCTGGTGAGGATGTGGAGAATTGGAAGCCTGTGACCCTTGGTAGAAATGAAAAATGGTGTAGACACTATGGAAAAAATATGGCCATTCCACAAAATTTAAAAATACAATTACTATATGATCCAGCAATCCCACCTCAGTGTAATATAGACAAAAGAACTGAAAACACACTCTTAAAGAGGTATTTATATACCCATACTCGAGCTGGTGGAGTGACTCAAGTGGTAGAACACCTGCCTACCTACTGAGTTCAAACCTCAGTGAGGCCACACACACTAAAAAAAATCTATACACCCCTAGTTACTGCATTATTCACAAATAACCAAGAGGTAGAAAAGCATCAATGTCTGTCAGTGAATAAATGTGTAAAGAAGATGAAGTATATACATGCAATGGAATATTATTTACTCTTTAAAAAGGAGAAAATCTTGTCATACAAAATGAGATAAGTGAAATAAGCCCACCACAAAAAGATGAATGCAGAGGAACTAGAGGTCCTCATGCTGAGCGAGACAGGCCAAGCCTCAGAGCTCAAATATTGCAAGTTCTCGCTCACTTGTGGACACGGAGCCATACTAATGATGATAATGGTAATAGTAATATGGGGACTGTCTGGGGGGACAATGAGAGGGAAAGGGAAATGAAAACATAAGGGAGGGGTCAATTTGCTCAAGGTACTGTATGCATGTATGGAATTAGCACAATGAAACCCCCTGTGTTATTAATGTATGATAAATCAAAACTAAAAAGAGATGACTGAAGAAAATAAGACTCATGCTCTTATACACATGACAGTAATTAATGTCTGATGCATGTTACATTTTGTAATTATGTAAAAATTTTGTTGTAGCTCAGGGATGGAGTGCTTGCCTAGCCATGTATGCACCCCAGCACCACACACAAAAAGCAATTATTTATCAATAAAATATATAAAAATAATAGTAGCAATAAATAGCATGTTTAATAATATGTGTAAGGTATGTGCAGTGGCTCATGCCTATAATTCCAGCTACTTGGGAGGTAGAGATCAGGAGGATCGTAATTTGAGGCCAGCCCAGGTAAAGAGTTAACAAGATCCATTTCAATCACAAAGCTGGGCATGACAGTGCACACCTAGGGCCCCAGCTATGCAGGAGGCTGCACGCTAGATAACAGCAGTCCAGGCCAGCATGGGCAAAAGCACGAGGCCATACCCCAAAAATACCTAAACCACAAAGGGCTGAGAGAGTAGCTCAAGTGGTAAAGCACCTGCTAGCAAGCACAAGGTGCTATCTAAACCCCAGTACCGCCAGAGATAAATAAAAATGTACAGCACTACGTAACAGAGTGACCAGATGTCCCTCTCATGGCTGTCACATTGTATTACACAAGGCTCTGATAAACGTACCACCAGGTTTCTCCCAAGGATCAAGTAAAAGTGAGAGAAGCCAAATTTGGGGGCAATGGAGAATGAATATAGACTACCAACTTTTTTTTTTAATTTTTATTTTTTTATTATTCATATGTGCATACAATGCTTGGGTCATTTCTCCCCCCTGCCCCCACCCCCTCCCTTACCACCCACTCCGCCCCCTCCCTCTCTCCCCCACCCCCTCAACACCCGGCAGAAACTATACTACCAACTTTTTATTCAGTAAAATCTCATGTACAGTATAATTCACAACACACTTTTTGTTTTTTCTGGCACTGGGTTTTGAACTCAGGGCCTACACCTTCAGCCACTCCACCAGCCCTTTATTGTGAGGGGGTTTTTTGAGATAGGATCTTGAGAACTATTTGCCAGGGCTGGCTTCGAACCATGATCCTCCTGATCTCTGCCTCCTGAGCAGCTAGGATCATAGGCATGACTAACCGGCGCCCGACTTCACAACACACTTGCTAGCCAGCTCGCATTGGCAGATGTGGTTAGATTAGACATGAAGCCCTTTCCCAGACAGGGGGAAATGACTAAGTAGATCAGCGCGATGTCAACACCCCCGGGGAGAGTGACTGTGTGGGCCGGGAAAAATGATTAATCGCGACATCTTTCACTCGGAAAGTTTAAGTAGGTTTATGCAATACACTCCAGGTCACTCTACCTACAGGGTGTGTGTGGCCCTGACAAGAAAGATGATCACGAGTACAGAGATGAGTGGCTACATATATCTCCTTGATGTCAATCTACAAAGAGATCAGGGCTGAGTGCAAAGCCAGGAGAGCCTGGAAGGCAGAGCAAACCTGTATTTCATCTCAGAACTTGCTGCATCAGTCCACTAAGACTTCAGTGCCTAGAAGATGGGTGGAGACCCGAGGAGAGGGGCAGACAGGGCAAACTGCAGGGGCCTCTGTGTCTGAGGCCCAAGAAGATTGTACCTGTTTTTCTTCAAAACCACCTGAGTTGGATTCAGGAGCACCTCAACCCAAAGAGAACAATCAACTAATGGGCCTTCCTGACGTCCAATGGCTGTAATCCCCCAGCAAGGTCACACGTTCAGGCTGTCTGGCAACTAGCTTTGGAGTCCATGTTACACCTTTGAGAGCAGCAGCACTTTCATTGTTGAATGAGTACTAAGTGTTTGTTTGCTTAGAAAAAGACAAAAGGGCAAAGCAAATGTACGTACAGGTTGGGAGATGTTTTCCATGGAAAGGGAAGACTGAATGAAAGGTACCATGGACACACCTCCCCCTCAGTCCTGCACTGGTAAATCCCCTCCTCTTCAGCGTGGGTAGGGGCTGGGACTTGCTTCTACTCCACAGACTATGCCAAAGGGGTAAGATTTCACTCCCTGGGTTACATTATAAGGCAAGGTTGACCAGCTGTCCCTCCATGAATATCACATTGCATTACATAATACCCTATCTTAGCAGATGGGAGGGAGAGTCTCTCCAGCCAGCCTTGACATTATACCATCATGTCATCTGCTTAGGGAACCGCAGTCACACAGCCAGAAGGAGCTGGAATCTGCCAACAGCTGCAACTTGAAGAAAATCCCCGAGCAAATGAGAACACAGTCTAGTTGAATAGAACCTTGCCTGCAGCCCTGTGAGACATGGGCAGGGCCCACACTTCTGACCTGTGCAAACTGCGAGGTAGCAATTGTGAGTCAATGCGGTCTGCTAAAATGATGGTCATTTGTTACGCAGCTATAGATAACACAGCTACCTCTTGGGTCATCTTATACCTCATTTTGCACTAATAACAGGATTTTTACAGTTATGAGAACTCTGCCAGTCAAAAATATGGATGTGGAGAAAAGGGAACCCTTGCACACTGTTGATGGGGATATAAATTTGTATAGCCATTATGGAAAACACTACGGAGGCTCCTCACAAAACTAAGCAAACTACCATATGATCCAGAATCCCACTGCTGGGTGTATGTTGAAAGAAAATGAATCACTGTGTCAGAGACATCTGCATTGCTATGTTCACTGCAGCACAAGTCACAATAGTCAAGCACGGAATCAACTGAAGTGCCCAGCTGATGAACGCATAAGAAAATGTGGGACATATAAATAAGGAATGCCATTCAGCCATGAAAATGAATGAAATCCTGTCATTTGCAACAATATGGATGGAACTTACGTTGCATGAAGTAAGCCAAACCCAGAAAGATAGGCACTACATGACTTCACTCATGCAGGATGGAAACACTTGATTTCACCTAAGATCAGAGTAGCATGGTGGTTACCAGAGGC